CCTGAGTGTGCCTTTCGAAGGTCGGCCAACGTTATTTGTTTCGTTTCTGGGTGTGTTTCTATTTTCCTCGCACACAAAGCTGCTCCGGTCGCGCCTTTAACCTTAGTCAACCCGCACTGAACGAGGGTGCATTGTACTTGTCGCTGCCGGGCGAAGAAAGAAAGAAAGAAAACATTTCACAATTGGCAGGGATATCTTTTAAAGCCACATTTATTTATGGAAATGTTTTCGACCCCATGCCAGATTGAAATCTGAAAAATATAACGTATTTGGCGTCGCCGCGTGTGACCAGCATATTATTAATTGTTTGCTTTTGTTCGAGTGCCGCGGCGAGAGGAAGCGCACGTTTGCGACCGCGGTGCTCCCCGCCGGTCATTTCTAATTTTGGCCTCCGCTCTTTAAACTTGCGGATATTTGGCAGGAGGCTGCAGAGCCAGCTGGAATTTGTTTGAAATGCTCCATCCTCCTGCCTGCCGTCCGCGAGTGGCCAAAGAAAGAGCCAAAGTGGAGCGCGAACTGAAAATAGACTTTTGCTTTAGTAGTGTCAGAGCAGTGTGGGGAGAGCACTTCACCAGCTGGGGATGAGAAGCATCATAATAGAAAGGTGCGTCAGATGGAGATTGGTTAAATTTGATCATTTTTATTAAAATAATAATTATCTATCAATATTTATATTAAATAAGCGTCATAAAAATATTTGAGCTATAAATAATTCAATAACACCATGTAAAATTTATATGTACATTTAAATTTTGTAAATCATACAAAATTATGCAACCAAATATTAAAAAAAAATTTGATATTTTAATCTCAAAATTTCACTTCAGCGGCTCTTTTTGGGAGTTAAGGATATATTTATTTCGATCCATATTATTATTTATTTATTTAAAGAAAACAAGAGCCTTGCTTTTGATTCCTTATTATTATCATTATGATTTTAAATTTGATTCTTCATAACTTTCGACGTGATTTGATGTAAAAAATGTATGGGAATTACAGATTGCAAAAGTATATCGTAGAATTTTAATCCATTTATTATTTTTTTATTTACTTTGATTATGTACAAATATCTTTTCACAAAACGAATATTTACTGTAGAAAAACTTTTGATATTTTTCAATCTTTCTCCCTTTTGTTTTTGTTTTTTAAGCAGAGTGACTTGCCGTCGTTCGACTCCTCCTTGCAAAAGGGGTGGTGTTGAATTTCACGAAACTGACGCACACGCTGCTACTTTTTGCCGTACATTTGCAGAGCGTAGGAGGAAAAAGTGACACCAGCAGGTCTAGGGCAGTGGGCTTTGGTGCGTTCAATCCAGTTTCCACCCCGGCTCTTCATTCTTTCGGGTTACTGACTCTTTTAAAAACAAAATCACGTGATCGGCAGCGAGACTTTTGAGTCCAGCCGAAAAAAGAGACAATTAAAATATCAGAGCACCCCAAGAGCTGGTTCACTGAACTGCCTCTGCTATTTTTACCAACTTGGTATTATTTTTAGGTCCCCGAGATTAAAAAATGCGCCGCCGGATTAAATTTGAGACACAAAAAGCAGTTTTTATTAATGACTGTCACATGCGCATAGCTTGCCAGCTAGACAAAATCATGTTGCATATGTGCTGGAGAGAAAAAAAAAAAGCGAAGCGTCACTAATCAAAAAAATTATTTACTCGGTTCGTTATTCTTATTACAAAACGTTTCTTCAAACTGACGTCAAATATTAATTGTCAGTTCGATTTCATTAAAAGTATATTTCAGAAAATTATTTTAGTTCATTTTTGGGCTGAAATTTATCCATTCCACAATCTCAAATGAATATAGAGTAGGTTATCTTGCAATTATAAAACAGAAACTTATGGTTAGTGAAATATTTAATGTATGCTACTGTCTTAAAATTATCTTATCTGTGGGATTCATGATTATCTCTGGCTTGATAAATTTGGATAACCCAATTCTATAAGGTATGATAGGAGGAGCTTTGTTTAAATTTAGACTAAACTTAAGCACTGATTGTCAAAGTACACATTTATAAGTCCTTTACAATTATATGACCACGCACGGACATTTTTATATCTTGCTCAATCTTGCTCTGATTTTCAGCAGATTTAATTTATTTGCGAGCATTATCTTATCATAAATACAAGAATAGTGACAAGTGAATTATATTGCTTGTTTACTTTGTTTTACTTCTTCTTTGTGATTTTATAAATTTAAAATTTAATTTAAAGCATAATGAAAGGGATTTATTGTTATATTTTATTTCTATACCCACTTCAAAAATAACTCCAGCTGTTAGTATTTGATCATTTTGAGAATAAAAAATTATCTAAGATTGTTTTTGAAATTTATTCAACTGCTTCAAAGTTTTAAACCCTTGTTTTGAAAAGAGCTCCAGTTTCCATTAGCAATAAAATAACGTGCCATTGAGCACGCTGCAGATTTTGTTTGACCAGGGCTCCAGTTTGGTTGAATAGGCCCAACAATTTATTACCAAACGTCAGGCGCGAGGCAAATAATGAAAGCAATAACAAGAAGCTCTCGCGTGCAAGCAGCACGTCGTAAATCAATTTGGCGTTGCAGCCAAAAAGCACCACTTGAGATGCGCGCTGATAAAACTGTATTTGATTTGGGCGCCTCTAAATAATTTGCACGCCAACATTTGATTTGGCCAGAGTTGGTTGGGAAACCGCGTGTGCTGTGCTCTTGGGCACGGATTTAAAAATAGAGCATTGGGTTTCCCGGCCAGCAAGCGTGATGCTGACCCTGTGTGCGAGTCAATCATGCATTTCCCGGTGCCATATTATTCTGCAGTTCTCCAAGCGTGAACTGAAATAAAATCAAATATGTGACCTTTAGCCATCCATTAAATGTTTTATGAAACGTTAGATTTTTAATTTTTTTGCTCTTACTGAGCTGTTTTGTAAAAAAAAAGAAAAGAAAATGCTTTCGCGACTTTGAAACGTAATCTGCTCCTTAGGTGCTGTGCAGGCTCATTTTTCCTCTGAAGGCAAGTCGTTTTTTCCTCTAAAGCAGACGTCATTTGAAAATAGCGACGGCGGATTTTGCGAAATGAGACGTGTTTATTTTCCTTTGAAACAAAAGACCCGTAAACTGTGCTGGCGGAAAAAGCAAGGTCTCTTGCATAGACGATGTTAATTTTCAAATCTCGTTTGAAAAATAAATTTGTCACACACGAGACAAGGAAAATTATAATTCAAACGCATAAACCGCCACTCTTGTCGTGCAGTGTTGTATACATTTTGTAAATCGGTGGCAAACAAACGCTCATTTGCATCAAAACGATCAAGGCCGCGCGGCACAGAATGCACGATCGGACCGCGCTCTCAATTTGTTGCATTTATTTATATATTTCGTTTGGACAGGAAGCGGCTCACGATCGAATAATAAGCGCTACAGTATCTGATCAGAAAACAAAATATTGAAATTCAATCTACATCCTCTAATGTTTTGAAACTTTTAAGCGTGATATAAACAAAAATCGTTTGGCAAGATGAAAACATTTAAACACTCCAGCCGGCAAGTAATTGAAGCAGTGTTTTTTTGCATAATTCATTGAGCTTGGGAAAAATATATTCCCACACTTTACAGAGGAAGGAAAATAAAATATGTGTTTGCGTTTTCTCGCAGGCTCTCCGCTCCTATTGGAATGCTAAATTACAATATTGACGTGACATTTTTAGCGCGAGCGGGCGCTAATTGTTTTTTTCTCTTCTCTCTTTACGACTTTCAAATGGTCCAGTGCATTTCGCGCTCTCTCTGCTCAGTCGGAATTTGTTTTGTGACACTGGAAATAATACACCCTAGAACACACTCTCGTTCAAGTTTAAGTTACTGACCTTCATGCCTTTGCAGGCTCATTAAATTGAAAAAGGATTTCTGTAACCAGGCGTGCTTTTTTCACACCGCGGTGACTGCATAATATATATTATATATTATGCTCTGAAATCTGCTTGGATTGCATTCTTGGAATGGGGCGAAAGGGAGATGATGATAAACGACAGCACTTGATAGCACAACATGCATATATACGCATCACTTGCGCTACCGTTGCGATTTCGCCCCCCTTTATTTTAAAATATTGCAAGTAAAGGGTTAAAATAATTTAAAAAATTGCAAGAATTACAATTGCGCTTTAAAAAAAGACATAAAAAAATTATTTAAAAATTTGTCATCCTTTTCAGAAATTTTCTATTGGGATAATGTGCAATCACTTAAATTATTGAATAATGAAATTAATGAACTAAAATTTTAAGTAATTAAAACAACATTTTTGTTTGCAATTAAAAATTTTGAAATGATCAAAAAATGATTTTTTTTCTACAATGTGAGGCAACTTTTGTCATTGCGTTTTTGAGGTTTCATGATATTTCTTCAACACCACTTACATTAATGTTATAAAGCTGCGCATTTACTCTGCTTATAATTATATCATCGATTGTGCATGGTTTCAATGACGTCATGCTGCGATTTCAATTTTACTGCAATGAGACTTTATTACTTTTTGGAAAAGTTTCCTCGTCAGTATTTATTTGCGGCTCCCGATAGCTAACCTCTGCAAAAGATGCGTTTCCCATCCGCAGTGCTGACGAATTGTGTGACAGCGCTCTGTCTTTGCAGATGTCTCTCATGCGCGCTGCTAAAAGCGCGCGACTAGAGCCACAAAGATCATTATTATTTTAGGCCGCGCGCGCTGAACACACAGCCTCGCCATTCACCGCGGCGCCCAGTGTAGTGGTCTGTGAATTTTCAAATTCCACTTGAATGGCAAATAGAGACTTTTTTGCTAATACAAAAGGCTAAATTTGGCCCGAGGCTTCCGTTTTCACTTTCAATGACTGGAGCGCTTTGTGACGCACCAGAAAAACGCGAGCATTTAAAGAATGATTTATTTATGACAACACGATGGTTTTCACTAAAAAAATTTTAAATAGAGTGGAGAGAATATAAGTTAATATATATTAACTTTAAATTTTATTTTTGTTCCAGAATCTGATGAGAAAAGGTGAAGATGGGTGAGTGCGAGCTGCGTGCCGAGAGGCTCTCGTTCCAGTGCCTCTTCCAACAGGAACGTAGCAAAGATGTCGAGTTCGAGGTTGGTCCTCCCGAAGGTCAGGCATGGCGCCTGACGGCACACCGCCGAGTGCTGGCGGCCTGCAGTCCTGTTTTGAGGGCCATGGTGTTTGGGCCTCTGGCCCATAAAAGGGGCAGCACCATCGAGATCAGGGATATTGAACCGCGCGCCTTTGATTGTCTTCTTAGGTTAGTATATTTATAAAAAAAATCCACTAATAATATAGAAAATGTATTTAATTTGGCGCTTTTTTTTCTTAAAGTAATAATTTTGGGTCCGGTTAAGTACTTTCTTTACTTTTTAAATACAATAAAGGATAAAGAAATTTAATTGTTTTGATAAAATTATGACATTAAATGTCAAATGTGTATTAAATAAACCGATAGGAGAGTAATGTGGACTATTATGTGATTAAATTTCCAGTATAATTTATTTAATTGAATAAATTTTTTAAAGCTAATTTATTTTACTTATAATGCATAATATATTTTTATACTCTCATAAATTGCAATGATTTAATTTGAGTTGAAATATTCCTTTTTGATAAAAAAAATTCCCACTTCCTGTTGCAGATATGCGTATGGTCATCCACCACAGTTCCAAACGTTGTCCACCGCGTTGTCCACTCTGCACGTGGCGCACAAGTACCTGTGCCCGGGCCTTGAGTGGGAATGTGCCGCCTTCCTCAACGAGCAGGTGCAAACGCGACCCGACTGCGCCCTTGAGGTCTTTCAGGCCACCAGCTTTTATTGTCAAGTACGCCATCCATCTCCGCACTTACAACTTCATAGATAATCTTTTTTTAAATCAATTAATTTTTTTATAATAAAATGTAATTTATTTGTTTTAAATTAATTAAATTTTCTCCAGATGAAAGAAGTGCTGGAACCAACAGCGCCCCCAGCTGAAGATTTGGAGGCTGACGAGACCGAAGGCAGTCGTCTGATGGACAGTCCGCGCAGACGGTCCCTGATGGCCACTGCTGGTGATGGTGGCCGACGCTCAAACTCGGACTGGAACGTGGCGATGGGCGAGGCGAGCACTCGGCTGCGGCACAACTGCCTGCAGACGATCGACCAGCATGCCAACGACGTCCTCGCACTCGAGCAGGTGAAACTTCTTTTCCTTCTTTGTCAATTGCAACACCTTATTTACATAAAACTCTTCCGACCGAAACAGTTGGAGGACTTGGATCTGGAGTCCCTTCTGGCGGTCATTAGCCGAGACAGTTTTGCCGTGACCTCTGAAGTGTCCCTTTTTAACGCCGTGGAAAGATGGGCCGAGTGCGAATGCAAACGCCGAAAGTTGCCACATGCCGCCGAACACCTGCAAGAGGCCTTCGGAGGATCTGCCGTCATCTGCAGTGGAAAGGTGGCACGCCTGCTTCTGCTCAGCCCTCAGGAGTTTGCAGAAGGACCAGTGAGGTGAGTCCCTAGCTGACTGAAGATGAAGTTGTTATGCAACCTGCAACACAGGAATGTTTTGCAGGCTGCATATATGAATTGCGAGTTTTGGAGTTTTAAATTGGGGAAAATTAAAATTTAGAGATAAAAAGCCAGAAGGAATAAATAAAAAATTGAAAAATTTTGCAGAATTGATTTAAATAAGTTAAAATTTGCATCTGTTTTAATTTTTATGTAATAAATTATATTATTCAAAAATTCCCTGTGCTTTAATACTATTTATTTTTATTTTTTATTATCTATTAGTCTGAAATTTATGTTAATTTATCTTAGGAGTCCTCTGCTGACTGCTGAGGAGCAGAAGACAATGTTGGTGCGCCTGGTTGGCAACAATCCGTGGACGCAAGACGCCGCTGTTCTAAAGCCCCTGGACTACATCGAATGGGAGCAACTGGCGCGGCCGAGAGTTCCTTGCTCTCCGAACTACCTCCCGATCAAGACCCATCAGTACCCTGGCAGTTGCGAGGGCAGTCCTTGCAAGTCGTCAAAGAGCAAGTGCTGGCGGTGGTGGTGGCCGTGCCGGAGGAACAAACAGAAGCCCACCAAGGAGGCCAAGAAGAAGAGGCAACAGCAGGACAAGCAGCCCAAGTCAGAAAAGCCCATTTGCTGCTCCAAAACGTGTGATTATTTCATTATTCTGATCGCCTGCCTCTTCGACTGAGTGCATGATTTCCACCCACTCTTTTTTCGATCTCTGCTGAATTTTTTTGAGAGTTTGGAGAAAGATTTTTTTAGTCGTTCTCATAAAAAAATTCCTATCCATTATAAATTGCTCCTGAAGAGTTTTCGTCTTTGAAAAACACAAGGAGCTGTCAAATTTTCTGTAGCAAAAACTTCTCCAGACTCTCTTTTTGGCTCTCAAATTTGTATTCAGAGAGGGAAAATTATGGCGTCCATGACACACATACACATCGCATTGAAATGGTGCCATTTTTTTACATTTTTCCAAAATGACGTAGGTGCGAAATTTCTAAGAAAAAAAAGCACAATATTTGACGAAAAATAAATCTGTGACGTGTAGAAATGGAAATTTCCTTTGTTAGAGCTTTTGATTAGTCTATATTGAGAATGTTATGTACTAGCTGTTGACAAGCTCCTTTCTTATTGTTCCTATATGTAGATTACTACTAAAAGTATAATATAGCCTCTCTCAAAATTGCAACTGGAGGAGCCCCCACAATGGATTTGCCAGGCTCGTTTGCGTTTTGAGAGTATTGAAAACCAAATTGGGCTCTATATAATTTATGTTAATTATGGGAAAAAAATTGTCAAAATTTATCTATCGAAGAGGCTATAAGCTAGTCATGTTCAGTTCAGCCCGTAGCACACCTGTATGTTTCTGTTCCACAACTATTGTAGAGGTCAAAAGTTAAATTTCAACATTTTTTCTGTTTTATGAAAAAGATATCCATTCGAGAAGTATAATTTTGGTGCTAATAATTTGACCTCTACATATAAGAGTAGAGTGTCTACCAAATTTTAATGTAAATCGTTAATTGTCACAAGAAAAGTTAAAAAATCATGCCAAAAATATATGATATATTCAATGCACTGATACAGTTGCTATGCAAAATTTACAAGCTTAATTGGACTGGTGTAACAAGTCTGATCAAGCGCAAATGAATTGCAAAACAAAACATAATTTTATACTGCTTTTGTACGCAGAATTTTAGAAATATAGTTGTGTTTAATTTAATCCAGACTGTTCAAGTGCCTATCTTGAAGATGAAATCGTAAATTGTCAGTTTCAGAAGGCTAACTTAATGAATTTTACTTAAGCTTTTAGAATAAATTAACAACCTATCATGCAATTTCTCTTACTTTTGTTCCTATAAATCTTTTTGCAATTGTATTAAGTGCTTTGAAATTTGTTGGAAAGACGCCGGAAACTAATATGAATGTTGAAACTAACTCAATATATACATATATGTCACCGCCTCTGCGTGTTTGAGGCGTTTTGTTCGCTTTTGGAAATTATGTTGTTTATTCATCAGGAATGAAAAATAAAATCATGTTCGGAAACTCTGGAAGTAAAATAATATGCATTGGCCTAGCTGCGCAGGGCTCAGAGAGGATGATTTATCATTGAGCTGGACACTTACTATATCTCTATGAAGATGCAGGACGCATCGTTTGCCGATTTCGTTGCATTTAATTAAAGTTGTACGCCTACTTAAACATCTTGTGTTGAAGCATAAGATAAAATAAAATGAAGTATTAAAGAATCAATATTTTAATTTTTAAACCTTTCTCCAATTAATCACGCATTACAATTTTATATTAAACATTTCTTAAATCTTTATTTCTGACAAAAATAACAGCAGGAATGTGGAAAAATGAGATACACAGTTTTGCAAGTTACAAAATGCCCTTATCAGCATATAGTTGGTATTTGTATGGTGTGTGGCCTGTTTATGACGTGGTTATTAAATTCCAAATTAGTTGTAGAAAATCAAAACAATTAGTGCCAATATACGCCTGCACAACAATTAAAACTGATTTTCTAGCAGCGCGTGCTTTTCAATTTATACTCAGAGGTCTATTGTCTGATGGACTGAAGGTACGAGAATTCAATATCCATTTTTCTAATATTTAAATACTTTCAACAAATATTATTTACACAATAAATTACACAAGTTAATTGCGGTCGTTCACTCTTTCAACATGGGTGTGCTCAGCATTTTGATTCCTCATATAAATATTATTTTTTCCATTTTGCTCGGGTACAGAACAGATGCTTGACAGTGTTAAATACCAAAATTCCTTCTTTTTTCACAATCAGATTACGCAACAACTCTATTTCTTTATATAATATCCGTGTTTTTGATATACAAAATCTTGTGTGATAGAACAGCCTTTTCTTGGGTCTTTTCTCACAATTCTCGCTCTCCCGGTGCGTGAGAGCAATGTAGTAATAAGGGCACTGATTGTCTCTCTGTCTCTCTTTCTAAAAGGACGAATTGCCTCGTCCGCCAGTCAACTAGTCGCCATGCTGGCTCTGCGCCGTCCTGTGCTGCAACTCGCTGATCAAACCTTCCTCACCAGTCACTGTGGCCACTTGCAGACTTTCTTGGCGCCAGCTCACTTGTCCATCCCCAACAGCCTGGAGGATACAATGCAGAAAAAATGAAATACAAAATTCAGTCAAAATTTATTAGCAATGCAAATAGTTTAAATTAAATTTAAACTCCAAGTTATTGCAAATAATTATCTTTATAATTTCGTTTTTACGTTTTATTACTTTGAAGAATAGCAACAAAAGAGCTAAGGAAATTTTAAATTAATTTAATTATTCAAAAGTCTCCTAGAGCAGACTACTACTTTTTCCCCACAATTTTCTAATAATTTTAAAATATCAAATTAATTGTAAAATTGAATAAATATGAATCCACTTGAAAAATAAATAAAAATTGTAATATATTAAATATTTAAAGATTTTTTTTATAATTTTTGAATAATATTAAATATTATAATAGGGGATATTCAAACACTAACTTAGTACTAGAATTCCCAAGAGGCTAAAAATTTGCATAATGCATATCCCTGATTATTTATCTATATTGTAGAATTAAAAAAAAAAACATTTTAATCTTAACTTACTGAGGCAATATTGTCCATGTGCAGCTCACGCAAGTACCCTGGGTTTTCAAACGCCACCCTTCCGCCAGCATTCGAAGGCACCTTTTTGGTCCTGACCAGCCATGCGGCGGCCAGGACGACGAGCACAGCCACGACCCCGATCAACGCCGTGCCCACAGCAATTCCCACAGGCCACGCGACCCCGACCAGTCTTGAGCCGGCTGAAAAAAGTTTTAAGTGCTTGGAGGGTTCGCCCTTTTTAGCATTTTATTTTTTATTTTTACCAAGACTGGATGGCGTTGTGATGTAGTCCTCAGTGTTGGTTTTGAACCTGACCGGCTTGGAGAGCATGCTGGTGCCGTACTGGTTGCCTGCTTTCACCACACACTCATAGAAAGTGGCCGGCTTGAGCCCCATTAGGCGCAATTCGGTTGTTAGAGAGTCATTTTTCATAGCCAGTCGAGAGCCCAACTCTCGCCAGAAAACCCTGCATATTAAAAAGGGGTGTTTTTATTTTTTTGAAACACATTAAAAATGAAGGAAAATATGAAATAAGGGAAAAATTTGGCGTTCAAAAAAAGTTAAAATGGAAAGCAGTCTCATAAAATCAACCTTAAATAAAAATATTATAACTTTTAAGGAGCACAAAGAGTACCGTCCCAATAAAAAATTCAATATAATTCATTTTTGTGGAATTTTCTATTTGAAATCAAATACCTAAAAAAATGCAGCTTATTTCCAACTTTTGCGAATCCGCCACAAAAATGAGCTGATTTGTTCATGTCAAAAGAACCTTTGGCAAAGATCTCTTTTCAAAAAGACGAGAGAGCTTTTTCCCTCAAAGGATGCGTCTCTCTTTGGCCAAATCGAAATCGGCTTGAATGGAATATCCGGGCTCATTTGCATGCATTTGATGCTGGATTTGAGTCGGAGGACGCTATGATTATAAGCCCATGCTCGTGTTTATTTGGGCCGTATATCAACCGAAAGGAGCAACAAACGCAAATATCCATCAAAGGGAACTTTTTCGGCGCAGTGCGTGTCGAAAACCATCATCAATTGATGTACAAAGCAACTAAAGCCGCAGTCGCCATCGAAACGTTTGATAGCGATGAGCACAATTCTCATTAGGGTTAGTTAGTTGGAGACATATCAAGTCAAACTCAAAGCAAATTGCTATGCCTCTGTGTGTTGTGCAAATTGCATACCTGTAAGTTTGGGCTGCGTCTGGATTCCTGGTGGGCGGTTCCCATGAGATGTCTGCGAAATTGGCACCGATCATGATTGCCTTCAGTGATTGAGGTGGCCCAGGCAGTCGGTCTAAAATTGGTAGTTGCAATTTATATGATTTGAAAACTTTTGAAAATCAGAGGGGATTCGCAGGCCGTTGTGAGTATATTTTTTTTTATCTTCAAATTTTTAATTTAAAACTCCAAACTAGCTCTGATCTGATGAATGGATGTTTTGTTTTTGATGATTTTAACTAAATTGAGAAAAATATATGAAATAATAATCAGACAAAAAATGAAAATTTTAAGCAAAATGTAATATTACGAAGATTCGTCTTTGATTCGTCTAATTATCAATGAAAATAATTGATTTTTAATGTAATTTTTTTAGAGTATGCACCTTGTCCTTGCTGGAAACAAGCCATAATGTGCTGGCCGTAAACGAGCAGGCAGAATTTGTGATTATTCGGAGCTGACGCTGAGGTCGAAGTTGAAATGTCCATTGTTTCCCCCCGGCACCAATTCAGGCAACTCTGGGGCAGTCCACGTTGGGTGCAGCAACTGCGGTGATCGGATCCATCTGAATTTTTTCCATTTAACGAATGCCCAATTAATGTAAGAGAATCCAAGATTACCTGCAGCACATCTGATAATTTTGGGTAGGTCGTTGACGCATTCGGGCTGGTCAAGGACGGAATCGAGGTCTAGAAAGGCGCCGGCGGAACAAGCGTCCAGGCAGGCAGAGTTCACGTTCAGACTTTCACAACAACTGCTTGCGTTCATCGGCAGAGATTCCTTTAAATGAAGGGGATTTTGTGATCAATTAAACTCAAAATTAGAAATTATTCAGAAAAAAAATATTACATACTTAAATAAGTAAATGTTTTATTTAAAAAATTTCTTACTGCTGGGCGTATTTTGAGGGTCACAGGTTGCGTGGAACTCCCCAGAAAGTTTTCAGCGTGGCAAAAATACTCGCCCTCATCCTCATGCTGCGTATTTTTAATTGTCAGGGTCATGACCTTGGTGTCAGGAACCTAATATTGATTGGATCAATTACTTTAACTCCAATGCTAAAGTAAAACGCTTAGAAAAACCCACCCCTTTGACTTCCTTCACTGTGACTTCAAATCTTCCTCCTTGGACGACGGGCACCCTTCCGCCAGCGTCCCTCCAGAAGACGGTTTGTGGCTCTGGTTGCGCCTCAACTTTGCACTCCAGCACACCAGTGCCGCCTTTCAATGAAAGGGAGGGAGCGGACGAGGCACTCAAAGTTGGTGGATCTAATAGTAAATGGGTGTTTTGTATTATAAAATTTTACTTTAAATGACGCGTGATTATTTAGCATAGTTAAATTATCAATCAGTCACACAATCAAAGACAGAAATGAAAAATTTCGTAGAGATAAACCTTTACAAACAAAATATATTACTCCTAATAAAATAAAAAATTTGATTTTCAAATAAACTGTCTGAAATTGACGGAAAAAAGTAAGGATTTAACAAATTAAATAAATAATGCCGGTTAATTAAAATAATAAATAATCTAGATTTGAATATTAGTTTTTATTTTTGTTACTGATTTTATATTTTTGATTTCAATTAACCTCGATGTATGTAAAAATATGTATAATTGCAACATTACAAACATATCATATATATCATTCTAAAATATATATTTTTTAAATTCCCCAATTTAAAGCTTTAACATATTTAATTAAATTTGGGGTTTCCTATGAAGCTGTTTAAGCTTGCTGAAAACCTCCGTCAATATGGAAGTAAACGCAGATGTTAATTAGAATGGGCTTAACTCATTCACAGCACACGCGAAAGCCGCTTAAAATCTATACGCGTGTTGCACCTGTCGAGCCCTGATAGATAATTAACGAGTGGAGGCAGGGACCCTATATTAATGGACGGGGAGGGCAACTCACAGTTGACGACGATCCTCTTGGAGGCCTGCATGGGGGTGCCAAAGCCGTTGTCCGCGTAGCACGAGAGTTGCCGCATGTGCCTGGTGATGTTGTGCAGCGTGACCACCAAGTGGCGAGTGTCCTTCTCCGAGTGCGCCAGCTTGCCGGACACGTAGAGCGAGACGGTGGGCGCGGGGGTGCCGAGGGCGATGCACAGCACCGTGATGCTGCCGCCCTCAACCACGGCCCCCGGCTGGATTTTCGGCGGCTGAAACACATTAATGGCCAAGAGCGTTATTCTCTCTCACACGCAAGCAAGCAAACGCGGTCTTAAATCTCCCAGCTTTATTACGAAAAGGGGTTGCACCCTCCACCTGTGTGTTAGTTGAATTTACGACTTTGCCAGCGAGTTTCGGCACTAAGTCGTTCAGAAACCAAATTCGGGAGACGCGAAATTTCAAGGGCAGTACCGAGGGAAAGACAAAATCAAAGGAAGAATAAAATTATATTACAAATAAACACATCTCAGCCGTAATCTTCAAGACCATTTGAAAAAGGCCAGGTCAACGTCTACAAGGGAAATTATTTTTTTAAATTAAATTCTATTTGTAAAACTGCTACGAATCAAAATATTTTAAAATATAATAAATTACTACTATTTTAAGACTTATCAGGCCAAGGTTCGGCAATTATTAATAAAAAAATGTTAATTTTTTATTTAAATCTTTTATCTTTAAAAAAAAAAAAAAAAAATTAAATTCATAATTTTCACCAAGAATCCAACTTTTAATATTGATCCGGTTTGGCCAGCGCGTTCGATTTAAGTTCTAAAAATTCATGGTGATTGATTTTCATTGGATTTAATTTTGAATCTTTCAGACTTTTTAACAATTGTGAATATTAATTAATTTTATTGAAAAATTCTGAAAAACTAATGATTTGAAATATTATATTAAAAAATATATAGGAAAAAGAATTTATTAGAAATAATAGTTATTTATTACATAAAAATAACAATTAATGAGACTAGTTAACTTTTGAGTAATAAAGATTTTTGTAGAATTCAGCAATAAGCAAAAACAAATATCAATTACTCATCAAATAGAAAGATTAAATACTAAAAATGGGCGTGATTCAACAGAAAAATTATTAACACCCTTATTGGCTTCCGGTAGAAGACAGACGTATTTCACAGGGCAGAAAATTATTGAGCTTCTTTAGACGGTTGAAGCCTAAAAATTTCTGCCCAAGATTAGAGTGAGCATTACCAAGTGACATCAAAGTGTCTCGTCCTTGAAGACGTAAAAGTCGCAAAAATGTATAGCCCAGAGCCACATCATCAACATTTGTTCTCCGGTGGCGGGAGTTATCTGCAATAAAAGGCCACAGAGTCGGCTCGTTTTAACTCAGCCTGCATGCTTTTTATGTCCCCGGGCAAAATGTGGAAGCGCGGATCGAAAATGACGAGTCCCCGTGGACATTTAGACCGTGCAATACTTTTATCGCGATCAGAGACATTTTCAAACGCTGGCTTTTCCGTCCACCGTACATTACACGTCCGCCCACACCCCTCGCCTGAACAGAATAATTTCCTCTCTTTTTCACATGTACGCAAGACACACAGGCGCACCGAAAATGCAAAAATGTATTTACACGAACATTCATCATCTTTTTCTTCTCATACATATTCAAAAGAGAAAAGCGCGACCGCAGCACGCCGGGGCTCCGCTTCGACGTTTCTCTTTTCCTTTGATCCGCGTCGCTGAAATTTCAAGCGCGTGTTCAAAGAAAAAGTTTCAAAAATGTCTCGCGTTTTTGCTCGGAAAAGCAACAAGCAACACCTGCGCGCGGCACTTCAATCTTCACTCAAGGAGATTAAGTAAAACCGGCAAACAAATATGAACAGGCCATATTATATCTTGTCTAAATATTTGCTTCCGCAATTTCCCTTTCTTCTCTCTGCGATAATCCCGGCTGCAGACGTCAACGTGCTCAGCCGTGTGTTAATTAACTCTGCGGGAGATAATGCCAGACGCAATTAAACCGAATTTCAGCAGAGGTAGTCAGTGAAAAGGAGGATCTTTCGCTCGTGTCGGCTGGCGGGTAATTAATCAAAGTGTATAGTGTGTGCCTCTGTAAATATTGCACACGTCAAAAGCGTGCCGATGTGCTGAGAGCAATTAACACGTGAATGCACTCCGCGAGCGAAGTGCCAATGCAAATCGCACCAATTTAAAGTTGGCAGGGAGCTGCGGTCTGTGTCTCTCTGTCGGTAGTACCAATTAAATAAAGGCGCCTCCTGCCACAATTTAGCAAATCCTGCCACCAGTAAAAGTTTGCAATCAATTAGCAATGATTTTTTAAATAAATAATTTTTCAGCCAAAATTTCTGTACTTTGTTATTGTTTAAGTGTTTATAAGTGTGTCACTTTTTAACATTATTCTACGTTAAATAAAAAATTGGAGAATATCAACTCTAATTAAAAAGTATGTTACACAAAAAATTAAATATTAAAATTGTTTTATTAATTATTAGTATCTCTCATTTTATCAATTTAAGTATTTTACTCCATACAAGAAATTTTTTAAGTATTTAATAACAAATAAGTTCATTATGTTGCATAATATAGAGTTAATTTACTAAGTAATTTTACTGTTCAATACAATTTTATCTGCACAACTGCAAATAAAAATGGGAGATGAGTCAAGTGTTATCCTGAAAATTTTATTTTTTGGTTTTTTTATGTACTAAATAATACTATAAATAAGATGTAAAATCACTCAATAGTAAGTAGGGTAATTACATTAGAACTTAATATGTAGTGATATGGATATTACCTCATTTTGGGATTCAGATTATTAAAAGTAATAGTGACGTTGAAAAGTAATATTGAAAAAACAACAACAAACCTCCACAATGGCTGGCATGGCAGGGTCAGTCCAGACGAGCAGCGTCTCCGATGGCAGACTCGAGCCCTTATCCGTTATGGCAACAACACGGGTTTGATACTGGGTATTGGGTTTGAGATTCTCCAGAAGGGCTGAAGTGATGGAAGTGTTGGTGCGGATCCAAGGCACGCGCTGCTCGCCAGGTAGATTCTCGCGGTAATGAACACTGCAAGCAAACACATTCCGGCTCTGATAATTAAATTCGGAGATGGGAAAATTCATCGCGTAAGAGCCTCACTTCACCCTCGCCGAGTTAATTTTGCATTTAATGGCTGTTTGCTCCTTCGCATTAGTTTGTTGACCTGCTCTGGAAAAGTGACGCCGTCGGTGGCGGATTAATTTTATAGACTCGCAAGCCGAGTCAATTTGCAGCCGATTGAGAGGAAGGAATTGCATGCAGCGTTGAAAGTCGTAACTTCCGTCACTGCGATTTCATGCGGTGAATTCCGTGCAAGGCGAGAACTGCAACTTGTGCCGCTCTGTTGCAATGCGGGTTGCATAGCTTGCAAGCGGCGCCGTCGTTAATTGAAAATTCTTTACTACAAAATTAAAATGTCTTACACCAGACCTAACAAAAAAGTATAGCAAATGCAATTCCAAGTAATTACAATAAATGAAGTTATAAATAAAAATAATTAATAAGAAACACCATGGCTTGATACAGCTTGATAAAAAAAATATTTAACTAAATGTGTAATATATTTATTCTCGAATTTGTTTTCATAAAATATAATTATTATATTTAACCATATCTTTATGTAAAACAATATGTACGAGTTGTACAGTGAAAGTTTTTGTCTAAACCCAAAAATTTTTTCAAACAATGTTGACCCCAAACAAGTTAAACAGGAGTCCAACGTTACATTATTTTGTTTTTATCAATAAAATCTTTTTCAACTCCCAACAGAAGGCCAGTCGTGATTAGAGCGCCTGATGCAGGCACGCGATATTAGATAGAGGCACACGCAGCGAGCATACCGATTTTGTTAAAGGTCTTTTATCGAGGCCATTCACGGCCGCTGATTAATATTTTGCGCACACACCGCACTTCCATTCAAAAGAGCGGTTGTTACGACCCGTGCGTGCATTTTCCGCACGGGCGATTAAAAAGTTGGCCTACCTGTACTTGATGGGGTCGGACGGGTGGCTCACGAACGGCGGCTGCCACGCTAGGGTGAGAAAATTGGCGCCGCGGCCTGCGATCGACAGTCCGCGCGGTGATGAGGTCATCCCTGCCAATCCACTACCGACATCTGCAAAAATTTTGGAAAAAATATATTCATAAAAAACTCAATTTGTATGATGCAATAAAATCCATGTTTAACAAAAAGGTCAATGAACAAAGTGTATTTAACTTCCATTTCATATAATTATTTAAATTGAAGCAAAGAAAAATAATAAATTAATAAACTTTGATTATATCCCCGTTACATTTTCAAAAAAGTATTAAAAATACATTATTTAATTTGTCTGTTTTTAATAATTCTAAATTATTTAAATAAAAATAAAATTTTAAAAAGAAAAAATAAAAGATATTTAATTTTACATAATATTTCACTATAATAAAATAACTTTTTGACATATAATTTAAAAATTGAGATGAAATACTTTTGTGTAGCAGTTATTTTGGGCTAAAATACATATCAGAAGTTTTACCTGTTGCAGTTATGTTTATCCTCAGCATAGCCGATGGCAGTGATGTTCCATGTTCGTTCTCTGACAAAACGTAAAAGTCGTAAACTTTTCCAGGCACGAGGCCCTCGATGGTGGCGCTGGTGTTCGACACGCTTTTCACCTGCACAAACAATTCCTATCCATGGATAAAGGTTTCATCAGATATCAGAGTGAAGGATTATCATTTGAGAAGAAATAAAAAAAGACATCTCCCTCTATCATGAACTAACTACTGAGATTGGGAAAAGAAGTATGACGGATGGCGAGGCGGGAGAACCCTTTTTGGAGCACATTAATAAAAATCGTCAATCAAAACGAGAGGGAGTTAAGAGAAACTTATTTCCCAGCGCCCTTCGATTCCCTGCTGATCGAGCAGCAAAAGTGCTTGGCGCCCGCCGTTTTTCTCTCTCTCCGTCCGCCAAATTGCGCAGGAAAGAATCATTTATATTGATTAAGGAGCGACACAAAAGAGTAGTCCCTGCAGATAAATTATTCCCCAGCCAGCAGGTTGAATAGGACCGGCAGAATATTATTCGCAAAAGGGTGGATTTTCCGCGAATTTGCTTTTTTCCATCGCGATGACCCGGAGACAAAGGCCTAATCCGATTGCACCGAGAGCTTAATTGCACCATTGAGATTTGAAAAAAAGGGCGGCAAAAGCTGCTTTTTTATCTCTCGTCGCATAACTCATCGTTCTCTTTTTGGCGAGAGAGCAAGGAGAAAGGACTGCGCAGAGATTTGTTACAACTTCACTGGCGCACGATTAATTTATTCTCCCTTTGAGGAATATTGCACGATATAATAATTCAAACGTAAAAACTGACGTGGCGGGAAATGATAAGAAAGATGTAGCAAAAAGTGCGGAGAAAATGCACAAGAAGCGCGGATGCTGTTGATGCGCAGTGATGGGCTTTGTTCCCTCTTTCAACTATAAACTCGCTGGCAAAAAGAGAGATGAAAGCGTCGCAATTAATTATTAATGCCTACGTTCCACAGAGATGCTGTGTAATATGGAATTTTGAGTGGTGAATGAAGAAGCGGGTTGGAGAACAAAAGAGCCAGCCATTCGAAACAGAGGCCTGCCTATTGGGAATCAAGCTTTGGCTTTCGTTATTCAAAGAACGCGGAGAGCCAACTAAAGTCTGCCAGGAAAGCTACAGATTGGACCCCAAACGCTTTTTTGATATAATGCATTTTTTTTGCGATAATTATAAAAGGTTTTAGAAAAAGCTTTAATAATCTAATTGTGATAGTCAAAGACAACGATATACATATTAAAAGTTTGCTTCCATGGCATTTTATTAATTTTCATAGGCTTTTATTAAGTGGATTTAATTATTACAAAAAATAACTTTTTTTCTATAAGAAGCAAAGGACAATTAAATATATTTAGGCTCAAAAAATTATAAATTTTGGTTAATTTGATAAACAATAAAAAATTATCTTAAAATGTAATAATATATTAAAAATTAAAATTAAAGACAATTTTTTTTTTAAATTTAATTTTTAGCTTGTAGGTAATAAATAAATTTTACTTTTCAAAACATTTAAATAACTTTGAGTAATCTCTCCTATTTTACTCGATCCAATTAATTAATAGTAAAATAATTTTTAAGAGACAGCATTTTCTGATTTTTTGTAAAAGTACATTATTTAACTTCTGGGTTTGTGAAAGTTTCTGTGGACCATAATTTGCATTTCGTAATTTTTGTATCTCCTCTTTGACGCTTCAACGGATTTTATGTGTTCGAACCAGAAATTCTCGGCAATCAATTTTGCCCGAAAGCGAACCGAACGGAGCACTTTCCCGGTGCTGAAGCACGAAACTCATTTTCCCCGTTTGACACAATGGCGGGCTAACAGGCTCATTTGTGTCATTACAACGCTTTGTGTGCGCAGCTCGCGCTCCAGCCAGCCATGTGCTCTTTCGATAAAAACAGCAGCGGCAGCTATGCAGCGAGCGCCAGATTTCAGCCAATTATTCCACTTTAAATTAACTCTTTTTGTGCTGGCAGCATCACGAGGCCTTTGTCGGCTCTTGGCAGAAATACAAATCAGAAACAATGGATGTGACAGGGTAAAAGCCGCAACTTTGTTCCGCAGCACGGATGCGTGCGTGGTACTAACAACGTCGGGTGTAGCGCGAATAAACGAGCAAAAAGATTGATACACACGTCACTCACCGAAATGGGTTTCGAAATTTGTAAAAAAAATCAATAATAATATATAGATTACGTATGACGTACGACCCACAAACTAAAATAAATGGCGATTGTCACACAAAAAATGACGTTATAAAACTTTGTGAATTACAGAAGCAATAAAATTATTTGATTTTAATTTAACATTTTTATTATATTTAAATAATTTTAAATATTTATATATCTGATAAAAATGCATTTTTACGTTTTTACAATAATTCAAACTGAAACATTCCTGTTTATAAATTTTAAATAAAATTAGTTTCACTTAAGCGGTTTGTGTTGAAGATAATAACAAGCAAGAGAAAAACCTTCTCTTGTCTCCACTTTTTTTTCTGGAACGAAAGCCCTTCTTGATTCTTTTCCCAATTTTCCCAAAGTCTATCTCGACACTTGTCGGTGCTGTGGCGCCCGCAAATTGACGTGTCTCTCTCCTCTGTCGAGAGCGGTGCCAAAACAAGCCAAAGAGAATATCACGACCCTTTTTTCTTCTTGTTCCTTATCGTGTCATACATTATGAGCGAATTTTCCAATCAATTTCTTTCTCCCCTCTAAAAGTTGTCCCCCGCCGGCCATCAAGCTGGCGGCCGGAACGTAATCTCACTTTTTCAAGCTGATACTTTCCATCAACATTAATGCGCTCCGAGTCTCGTCGGCCAACCATTGAAACTCATAAAATTTCTAAAAATAAAGAAAGGGTCTTTTGCTAACCTTTGGCTCCCTCGTCTCGGCGCTGTCGTTCACTTCTATGTAGCGAACTTCATATCCGGTCGGTTTTGGGCCAGCGTTTTCCTCCGGCTGCTCCCAGGTCAGGCTCACCGAGTGGTTGGTCACCTCAAGTGCGTGCAACTCTCGAACGGGCCCTGGAAGAGTTCCTGCGCCTGTTTGAAACAAAAATAAAAATTAAAAAAGGTTAATTTTTTTTAGCACTTTAATATTATAAGCTCTATTAAGTATAATGTTTTTAATAAGCAATATTTAAAATATTTCATTACAAACAAACACGACTATCGAACAATATATTAATTTAAGAGAAAAGTTGTACCCAATCAGAGAGCTCGACAACAATAAAAATTTTCTGACGAGCGGACCTTGATTCTGCATTTGAATTTATTAATGCCTTTTGTTGCGTAGAAATGGTTAAGTTCCTTTACTTAACCTTATTTAAATTTTACAAATTTATATTGCTCAAATCAGTTATGCAAAATATTAAAGACAAGTTTGAAGTTTCAGAATTATTAGTTAAATAATAATAATTATAAATGAAATGGGGTGTGCTTGATTCTTAAAATAATTTTAAAATTAACTTACCCTCTTCAAAGCACTGGATGATGTTGCCCACGTACTGTTTGCACATAGCTGCTGTGTAGGGAATCGAGTCTTCCAAGATGCCGTAGCAAAGACTTTGGCATCTAGAAGGAACTCCTCGTCGTTTGCAGCATGCCTGGGAAAAATTTGAGCAGGCTTGTTGATAAATTACTCTGAATTTTAATTAAATAACATTGAAAGTGGAGCTTTTTAATTCGTAAAAAGCAAATAAATCTCATTAGTGAGAGAAGAACTAAGCTAAAAAAAATAATTTCCTTTACTGCGGAATTTCAACTTGTTAACAAAATGAGGAATCGCGAGAAGGAAATTCATCTAGTCGAATGGAAGGATTAATGAACCTTTTCAGTTCCATGAATAAAGGAGAGCTTTGAATAAATATGCGGAGAGTGCAGATAATGATCAGCCTTGTGCGGCGAAAAGTGGGGTGTGCTGGAGACGCAGCTGGCACGGCACGCGATTTACGGCCGCCGCAAACTGCGAATGCATTGTACCAAAGGACAATTGCAGGCACTTTTATTCGGACAGTATTGGGGGTTATCAGCGGCAGTATTGTTCTGGGCAGAAGCCATTCCAAAGCAATGAGCCGTTTCGCTTGCAATCAAAGTTTCGCAAGAAGAGCGCTTCAGTATAGACGACGGTCTTTTTTTCCCGAAGACCCCAAACACAGACGAACAAGTTTAAGCAATTTGCTGATGGTCTTAAGTAAGGCACGTTTAGCACTAGGGTAGTCATGAGCTGGAAAATCGTTTCTCGCCTAGAGAGAGCAATTGAACAAGAAAACTTTTGCAGTTAAATTGAAATTTACGTTTTTTTTACTAATAGCTGTATTTATTCTTTATGCGATTTTAAAAGTCTTAAAAATTAATGGAACGAGAATGCCAAAGGCGTTCATTTTATAAAAGCTGAATAAACGCGGCGGTGGAAGACGATTTATCGATTGGGTCCTCCTCGAACGTGAACCGAATTTCGTAGGTGAGCGCACTCACTTTGGAAGAAATTTACGACTTACTCGGCGTGCGAGTGGAAAGCAAGTAGGAGGCTCTTTCTCTCGGGCTCGATTTGGCCACCGGATAATTCCTTTGTACCAAACTACGCGACTTGGCCCTGGTGGGGAGAAAATTTGTGTGCCAGCAGCAGTAAATCAAAATTGGCTCGGCGTGAATTGGCTTCGGAAAGTTGACTTATTGAGATTGCGTTTTCCATTATTATCTAAGCGCAGAAAAAAAGTTTTCAAACAAAAGAGACATGTTAAAATTTTTTATAAGGTCATTTTGAAATGATAGATATATTAAAAAATTGAAACTTTAAAATTACATAATAATTATAATTGCCATATTGCATTTGAATTTAACAATGCACTTGCTCTGTTCCAATATTTATTGTTGCACTTTTTTTCTTCCCTAAAAGCCCAGATCTGATTACAATGGGGCCCAGTTAGGACGGAAATGGATTTGTGTCTGATAAAGGGCTTGACAGGGCTGATTTTCCATCAGTGCAGCCATCAATCAACGCGACGGTCAAAGCTGAACGACGACATAAAATTTGAATTACGAGCCCTGGATCCGCATCTGGAAAGGTGCGTGGAGAAAAAAATCAGCCTCTGCGAATTTTATGGTGGACATTTCGGCCGGGGCGCATCTCTGCGTAGATTTTACGATACGCAGAGAGAGGAACGAACGGCTTTATGGCTTTGCGCCGACATAAAAATCACATTACGATACAAAACGCCGATGGAAATTTCCTCCCATTAATTGCCTGGAAGGAGTGCTAGCGGCGGCCGCAATCCATTGTGTGGGACATGTGACGACGCGGCTCCAAATCAATTTCCAGCGAGCAGTCTCGGCTGCAAGTCGGAAGTAATATACACGGTGTATGACCTTGTAACGCATGAATGCAAACTTCAAACTGCGCGTTTAACTTACAAGCTAAAATTCACGTTTGCTCTGAAAAATAATAGAATGGAAAAAATTTAGAGAAATAGAATTAAAAATTGACAACCGCTGAAAAATTTATTTAATATTTAAATGAAAACTTTCATTTCCGTTTTTCTTATTCTGCAATAAATACTTGTTTAGAACATTAAATTATAAATTTTGAGACTCATGTGGATTAAGAATATTAATTTAAAATATGATACGCGACAAGCATTTTTAATTAAGTAAAATTGCTTATCCAGGCACAACTTATTATTACTAAATTTTACTTTTTATAATTAACTTAAAAGTCTAAAAATTTATAATTAATATTCTTAACAAGTAATTAGAAACAAGAAAAATGGAAATAAATTTTAATATATATTTTTCCCTCAACTGTCAAACTTAATATCACCAGCATAGTTACACAGCTAGAATGAGATTTCACTTTTCAAATGGTCAGGGTAATAATCGGCAAAATATAGAGGTTTGCGGTGGACATGTTGACCGCATGCACACTTGTCGACAGCTGCTTGGATGATTTGTGTGTGGGGGTCGTCCAATTATCCGGTAATTAGAGCGATTAATCAAGAGGCGGCTAATGGTTTTGGTTGGGAAACGAGTGAGGCAATAAATTCGCGCCTACCTGGTGGTCTCGGCCGCCGGCGCCGCACCGGAGCAGCGTGTGGAAGTAGGGCGCGCACACCGTCGAAAGGGCGCGCACGTCGTGGATGCTCGCGTCGTACGAGCACAGGGGCAGACACAGTGGACTCAAGCCAGCCGAAACGCAGCACTCGGTTGAGTTATAGATGTCCACCACCTCTTCCTGCAGAAAAGAAAAGCCAAACTTATACAAATTTGAATAGAAAACAACTGGAGTAAAAAAAAATTGCGATGTGTTTTAAGTGTATCAATTTTGTGAAAATTGTTGATTTATTGTTTCTCATGAAAGGAGAAGAAAATAATTAAATATTCACAACAAAGGCAACAACAACAGCCGATAATTTCCTCGGAAATTTGCTGGACTTGTAATAAAATAATAAATTATCTTTCATTAAAAAAAAACACACACATTTATTTTGTGAAAATGCTCAGAATGTTTTGAATTGAAAGAAATATCTACCGTTTTTATTTACTTCTGCCAGAATAAAAATTATTCTATTTTGATTGAAAATTCAATATGTATTTTTTAATACATATATTCGGTTAAAGACAAGCACATAAAAAGTTCATATCAGGGTTGTTTATATTTCTGGACCCACGCGCATTTTAATTAATTCTGTGAATTTTAGAATTATGGCATTTACATTGAAAATTGAAATTCCAAAATTATATTTGCTGATGGGGCATTCTTTGAGATCCAATAACAAGAAATTTTGGAATTTCAGGGATAAAACATTTACTATTTTCATTTCAGGCTTTTTAAGCGAAATCTGCTTGATTGAGATTCCAGGCCAAAAATGGATAAGCCAGTGGGTACAAATTCATTCCCCTCACGCTCCATAAAGCTAATAAGGGCTGTTTGGAATTCCATCACAATTTCCATGAACCCTCAATCCCACGCTCCGCAAATCAGCCAGATGAAATGCTGCACGAGAGTAATTTTCCCAAGAGCTACCAGATTCATTTTTTCTCATCACTTCCAGGCACCAATTAACTTAAATAACGCTCTCCGCCTGGCCAAACAGCAAGCCAATCTGTTTGCAGGGCACACATTATTAATCTGCCGCGCTAACCCGGCGGGCCAACATCATCAATCATTTCGCAGCTTCATGGCTAGTAATTGGGTCAAGTGAGCGCAACTTATTTTGCCCCAACGTGATAAATTTACGCCCTTCAATTACACCTCGTAGCACCAAAATTGGGATAATTTTATTTTATATAAATTGTAAGTTGCCCTAAAATAATCATGCAATATTTAAAGAAAAATATTAAAAAAAAAAAAATTCTTTAATCTGACCTGTTCTAATTGTTCCTCCATCTTTTCAGTTAGGGTGGTGAACACGATCCTCTGGCTTGGTTCTCCAGTTCCGTGCTCGTTGACCGCCTGGACATAAGCCTCGTATCTGGTGTCAGGTTTCAGCCTCGAAAGGAGATAGGGCGACTTGACGTTGAGCACCGTTCGGAAAACGAAGAGGTCGTCGACGGCGGTTTGGTCTAGTTTGTGGTAGTGCAGGACGAAGTGGTGGATGGTTTCCGGTAGCACCTCCGGGTCAGACCAGTGAATGATGGCGAAATCGTGGTTGATGTTGGTCACCTGAATGTCCAGAGGGGCGCTGGGCAAAATTCCGTAGCTTTGCAAGAGGCACGACGAGTAAATGTCACTGTATTCAATACATCTGCAACAAAAGTAGTCAACAATTATTTTAAATCGGTGGAAGTGAGGAAGTGTCACTGACAATTGATAACCTTAATTATTAAACTCAATGAACAAGAATTAATACATTTTCATACTAAAGTTTTAAAACTGACATTTACCATACAAAATATATAAATGTATTTTTAGTAATTCTTCTTTAAATAATTTTTTATAATTATTGTTTTGCAAAGTAAAATAATGTTTTAATATATTAAATAACAAATAAAGCAAAATAAATATATAAATTCTTAAAATTATCATGTAAAAAAATATTTCTTTTAATAATAAAATATAAGCTTTAATAAATTAGGAAATTGTAAAAAATGTAAGACCTGCATTAGTTTTTTTTTTTTTTTTTGAAAGTATAAAATATAAAAAATACGATTTTTTAAGTGCTCAATATAATTTGTTCAATTTACTTTAAAAAATTAATCTGAACTGACTATTTTCCAATTGAATTTAAGATTAATTAACAAACTAACCTGATATGTGAATAGTCAAAAGTAACCGTTTCATTCCCCGCCCTGCAAAAATCTCTGCAGGGGTCAGGAACACCCCTTGCTCTGCAACAGGCCGTGTGGTCTTGACCGCCAGTCAGACATTGCAAGGCAGCAGTCGCATATGGCGCGCACTCGAACAGCTCTGAAAGATCGGTCAGCTCCTCCAGATGTGGGTTGCAAAGTCGTTCAGCGCATCTGATAAAAAACAAAAAATAATTATTAATTAACATTTTCTTTTCATTGCAACTGAAAAGTGCAGTGAACCCAGCCGAGTTGCATTTCATCACAGAAATAATAAAGCTCGCTGTAAAATGTAAAATTATTCCCGAGCTCTTTTATACTATTGTGAAGCAGAGCAAATTAACGATTGATGCAAGTAGAAGTGCCGGTGTCATTCCCATTTTATGAACAGCGGCAGCAAAGTGTCACGGGCAATTTATGGATATTGCACTCCGACCATGATGTGCTCGAAATGAATTTTTAATATCGCGAGTATGCAATTCGCAGCGCACATCGACGGCACCGGTTGCCTAGTTGCCACTCGTGCAGGCGCTGATCTCTTTCTTTTTTAGCCTCGGCGCAATGACACGAATTACTTCCAACACGTTTTTACTGCTGAAGTGCATTAGAGTTTTGCGCGAGTGAGAAAAAGAGAAAAAAATAAATAGTCTGGTGCCATCCCTTTATCCACGAGCTTGGGAAATCACAGCTTTGAGAATAATATATAGCATTTTCAAAGCAAATAGTCTTTTCTCTGAGGAGATACTTATTTTTTTTTCAGTAAGCAATGAAATAGCTTTCAATATAAATCTACACAAAGTAAATTGTTCTTACTTAGGTTCCACTTTGTGTTCTTCGATGCAGCATTTTTTCACATCTGGAAGAGGTGGCAGAGTTCCTGATGTTGGAGATTTGGATTTTTTCTGACCGGGAACGAGTGTCAAAGTGCGGATCGCAGGGGAGGGGAGACTCTTGCCATGTCTGTTGACCGCAATCACCGCGATTTCGTACATAGAGAAGGGGTTGAGAGAACTTATCAGGCTCGAATTGTAAGTGGCTGGAACCTGATTTTATTTTACTATGTTAGTATCAATATTATTTTAATGTGAATGAGAGTCATAAAATAAAATTATTTCATTGAAGAAAATAAAGAAATGAATCGTTATAAAAATAAATTTTATTTATGTTTATATTTTGTTTCAACGCATTTAATAATAATTAAGATAATTTTCAAATTTATTACTACTACTATTTTTTTTTATACGACCCCTAAGTATTTTTTTTACAGTTCAGAAACTATCCGAAAATGAATTTCATTCTTTCTGGTTTTAAACTTCTTTTATACTTAATCATGTTTTCTTATTATACATTTTTAGATATTCATCAAAACTTTTTGAATCAAAAAGATTTTAATGTTTATAATGGTCATGAGAGTGTCTGCATACTTTGAGTTGGAGATTAAATGGCCCCTGCGTCGGCACAGGCGTTAGCGCCGACACGTCGACGGCGTCGCTTTCAGTGGTGGTTTTGGGCGGGTCGAACGAAGTGACGTGTTGCACACTTATCTCGTACTGCGTGACCGAGTCGGCGTTATGCTCGGGAAAGCGCCAGGACACCTGTAGCGTATGCTCTGACAGCGCCTCCACTCTGACGCGGCGCGGCGTGCTCGGAAGAATCTCTGCAAGCAAAAGCAATCAGTCGTGCGCGCCGACGATCCCCATCTTTTTTGCTGTTGTCTCCTTCCAAAAAAGGCGAGATGCGTTTGACAGATGGGGAGAAATGGAAAAAATACAACTGCACGAAAAGAGGGGGAATAGTGGATTAAAAGCACATTTTTTATGCAAAGGTTGTTTTTGACGCGCTTTCTTTTGTAGGAGACAGATCTGTCAACTTTATAAACTGTTTATTTCCTTCTAAAAGATCGTAATAAATTTTATGAAAGCTAGCAAATTTGGCAAAAGAACCCAGGCCTCTTAATGGTTTATTTATGTTGTAAATTTTAATGAATAAATACTTATACTTCCACTTCAAATATTGAACTCCTGATCCTGAATGGTTAATTACTGCAAAGCACTAATATTGTTTGTTTTAATTTTAATTACTACTCTACTGCAACATAAAATTTTTATGAATATCTTTTGTTTAACAAATAAAATTATTTCTGTTATAGTTTAAAAACAACTTTATAAATTAAATATTAAAACAAAAAATTATTATTTAAAAAAACATTTAAAAACTGTACTGTTATTTTAAGGTTTATAAATTTCATGTTGTTTTTATGTAATTAAGCAATGATTAAAAAAGTAACAATAATTTTTTATAAAACATAATTATTAAATAATAATTTCACGCTCATTAATATGTGCCCTGTGTTGTGCTGCACTTTAAATCTAGTTCAACTCACCAACTCCTTCAGCGACGCAAGCCAAAGCCCTCTCGGTGTACTCGTCGCACGAATAGTGCGTCTTGATCTTATCAGAGGTGGGTGTATAAATTCCGCGACACACGTCGATGCAGAGATCAATCACGCCCTCCCTGGCGCAGCACGCCGTGTGGTCCCTGCCATCTGATAAAAGTCGGAAAAAATTTCTTTGAAGAATCAATGCACGATTTTTTTTTTCATTTCATATCAAAACGTCAGCCATGGGACATTTGTCAAGAAAAAAAAAATGCAATACAATTTGAATGTAGATGTAATGTCTGATTTGTCTCTTCCTCTCGCGACTAAATCAGGGCGGCGAGGTGAACTGAGCAGGAAAATTGGCGGATTAATTTTGGGCTGTTGCTGCTCGAGTGCCTCCCCCTTGTGTGTCTTCTCATCCGGCCGAGGGCTAATGGAGCCGACAGTGGCAAAAATTGACAGACTGGCTGATTCGCCGCCGCCACTTCTCCGCGGCACAGAGATAGAATTTCCAATAAGGGCTCAATCGATTTGATCAGCCGAATCGGAGAATTGGACAGATGGTGTCCCTCCGAATTCTTTTCTCGCACGCGCATTTGACAAAGTGACGGGCGACAGCTCAATGCACATTGTTATACTTCCAATCGATCTGCTGAAAATAAATGACACTTCTCCTTTCCGTCGGGATGCTGTGTGTTAACTCTATTGTTTGGGAAATTTCTTTTTTGTGTGGCATCTCTCAAGAGTCCAAGGGTTAAAGGTATTTAAATTCAATTTTCACTAAAATCTTGTCAATTGAAGAAATTAATTTTATGACCGCGATATGTTTTTGAGCTAACAATAAGCATCAATTAATATAGATTTTAAATAAATCTAGAAGGTTATTTTTGTAAAGCGTGCCAAATTTTGCTCACTTCTGAAAAAGCAATCAAATCAAATCATGGAAAATTAATACATATATTTTGTGTTTCTTTTTATATAATTTACCAAGGAAATGAATTCAACAATTTATTGTTAAATATTAATTTTTTTTTAATATTTGAATTAAATTCTGGATTCTTAAGATAATTTTAAAATTCCTACCTGCCATGCAGTTAATGATGTGCGGGAAGTCAACTTCACAGTTATGCACGTCCTCGCCGGTATTTCCCTCGACGATGTTCTGCAGGTTGCAGAAGCCGAGGCACCTCTTGGACACGTCGGCCTGGACGCAGCACTCGGTGAAATTGTGTCTGGCCACCCTGGACGCCTCCGTGGGTGTTGCCGTTGAGGCGTCGTTATTATTTTTCTTGTGCAGTTGAGGCAGTTCCAGCACTGCGAGCATAAACAATGCCATTTATTCATTTTCAAACGGAGGCGCGTGCGACCGAGAAGGCACGTTTTTATTTCGTCTTTATTTTCTCGGCACGTTGCAAGAAAAAAATGAGAAGAACGACCAGAGGAATTTTCGCAGTAAACAGAAACAAGCTGTGAGGAGGAGCGAGCCACGGGGATCAATTTTTATTTCATTTAAGATGGAGTATCCAGACCAGACATCAACAACAGAACAACTTGATCACGGCTTGATTCAATAACCAAGAAGCAGCTAGGAGGGAACATTCGATTTGGGGGCAAAGTACCGCGGCGGTGGCATATTGATTGATGGCGGATTATATTTATTTGCTCAGCAATAAAACAGTCTAGACCGTTTTTTATTCAGACGAATGGGGATTAGGCTAGTAATGTGAAATGCAATAAATGCTCCTCAAACTTGCAACCTTAAAATATGCAAGGCTGTACATTATAATTAAGCAAGTGACCAATTAATGAGATTGAAAGAAGAACGCTCAACCTAAAAAGAAATTGTTGTAAACTGGAAATATTGGCTTGGCATAATTGGTATTCATTATTTTATAATAATTAAATCTCACATTTTGACTTGGCAGAAAGCACAAAAGAGACAAAATTAATCTATAAATTTGCCGTTTTTTTTAACTATTTAAAATTTGATTGAAAATATTTTTATAGGCAAAAATGATTCAATAATGTGAATGTTTTAAAATAAATGTAAAATCAAATATATATTGAATCTAAATATTATGTTTAACTAATGCAAACTACAAATTTACATAATATTTTTCAAATGCCGAAGTTCTTTACGAAACATAAAACCTGCCGACCGATCAATTTGCCAGCGTTTTTGTGGGGAATCAAATTGTGACGCGCTGACATCTCCACACGCTGCCAAAGTATCCGTTTCCCTGCAATTCCCAGACGCTCCTCCTCTCTGATTGCGACCGAAATCGCCACGTGAGAAGAAAGAATTTTTTTCTTTATATTTTCGTAGAGTACTCACCGTTGAGCTCGTGGAAGGAGCGTGCGGGTCCCTGTTCCTTGGACACTTCGCACACGTAGATGCCGGCGTCGGAGGGCTGCACGTTTCGGATAACCAGCACCGAGTGGTCTCCCTCTGCAAAGGCAACAAAGACGCATTAATCAAGGGCTTCTCTCCGGGCATTAAGGCGGCATTAAGGCCGAGACGATCCGCCAACGAAACCTATTTGCCGATTTATTCCAACACCCGCCCGCTTTTATTTCGAATGAGGCACTTTTGCAGTCGATTGCTGGGCCTGGCAGTTTAGGCGAAAGACCGTTTCACAGGGGCGGCTTAAACTTCCAAGTGCAAATTTTATCTCACCGAAGTTTAAATTAAACTCGGGGAAAGCTTTCCCAGGCGTTGAAAAGTTGAGAAACAATCACATTTTTGCATTTACGTTTTTGGGAGACTTTCCCTGTAAGTTACAAAACTCTTGTTAATTTTTACTGAACGTTGCAGTTGCCAAGAAAATTATGAAATTCATGCCATTACTTGAGTTATTGTGTTTATTAATTTGTCACGAATAACGCAATTTATATTTTATAACTTGCTCAATTAAGAGGAAAAAATTATTTTTAAAATATCTTTATAATTGAAAAAGAAAACGTACCCAAAATAATTTTCCAGTCAGGACAAATAATAAATTTAATACTTTCCATGTATATAATTATGTATTATTCATCATTTCATTCTAAGCAACACGGTTCTCAAATCAGAACAAGTTTATTTCTTTTGAAACTATGACGCATATAATTTTAATAATGATAATTAATATGGACATTCAAACTAACGAGTTTTGAAAAAAATTCTGGCTATTCATGTTTCAAAAATATTTCCAGTGCATTCCTCAAAGTTTAGTGATGCAAAATCAGGAGGGAATAATTTGTATGGAAAACAAACTGTCGCCATTTGCAGGCGGTTGGCAATAAAATTCCAACCCTTCCATTCCAATCCCATAATCCTCACCACTTTTCCAATTAAAAACAAAGCGCGAGCGGTGAAATTGGCCGTCGACCCAAACTGGAAACCGTGGCCGGGTCAAACGCAGCTGGAGCAGATTTATTGCCTAAAATTTCAAATCCACCACTGGACATGTTTAAAACCGCCACACATGTTTATTGTAAACGCAAAATTGGCATTGCTTTTGTTATTTGCACGGCGTTGCTTATTTATTTCCTGGGCATTGCCTTCACAATTGATTTTTCTACCACACACACCATTGAATGCAAATGAAATGGCAACGCTTTTATCCTTTTTATTTGCCGATCGGCGAATGAAAAGTCGGCCGCACGTCGCTCCAAGCGGTACCGCCAATTCGCGCTCCGCAATTTATCGCTCCCATTAGGCCAATTTGGTATACGTGTGCGCTCAATTCTTTCTGTCGGCAGCTGTTTGCGGTCATTGTTTCACTGCTTTTTATGGCCAAACTAAAATGTTTTCATCTGGCACAAAAACTGGCAGCAAAATAAATTATTATTTGTTTCAATTATGTGCCAAATTAATTATTTAACATAAAAAATTAAAAAAAGTACTTTCCAATTCCTTTGTTACTCAATTTAAATGATATGATATTTATTTAAATGTTTTGCTTTCAAAATTAACTGCAATTAGGATTAAAATTCAATTATAATCTTATAATTGATTTCATATACATAATAATACAATTATTTTTCTCTTACATCATTGTCTTAAAAAGACTTCTTCCTGTTTCGGAAAAATTCTACAATAATCCCCAGTATTTTGTAAAAGATATATTTTCTTTGTGTAAATTTCATACTTTTGTACATTATGAAATAATAAAAAAATCAATCTGTCGCATTTGACAAGACCATGAAATCTTTTTTAGCAAACGAATGGCCTGATTGAAAGGCATTCATCCGAGGAAACGAATTCAACGCTTTTGATGCAATTAACTCTGCTGGCGCGCAAATCGTATTAATTTCCCAATCGTTCGCAGACCGTGCCAAAAAGCGCGCACAGGATCAATTTGCAATTCAAAACTGTCGACGGGCGGTGTATTAATTACCAACTCGATATTTATGCCTTCCAGCTTTTATCACCGAAAGTTTTTACTGTCGAAAAAATTTACGATTTAAATTAGCTGAAAAATAAGAAACTTACCATCGCTGCGGATGGCGCTGAATCTGCGATCGGTGGTGACCCTTGTCGTATCCGCAGTGAGGATCTCCCTGCGGTCCTCGCCATTCTTCGCACCTGCACCGTCACTGGTCTTGAGCTTGGCCCAAATCACGCCGTTCGCTGGCAAACCTTCGCTCGACGAGTCGGCGATGCTCACCAGGCACGTGATTAGCGCGTCCTCGCCAGCCACCGCGTGCTTCTGGGACGCGTGGCCGCTGCCCTGCCAATTAGCACCTGCGAATCAGAATTCGAACAAAATTTAAAATCATTAATTAAAAATTAATAATTCTTGATAGAATGAATAAATTAATTTATCAGGTATTTATGTAATTAAAAAAAAACACCATTTGCATCTGAAATTTAATATTAATGAATTGCGGACGTCAAACTCAAGTTGAAAATGCTCTTATACCTTCAAATGTAATTAATAGCATTTAAATTACTTCAGAGTGGATTTTTTCTCTTATTCAATCAACGTGGAAATCTTTTAACCTACTTCTTTTGAGTAGAAATTATTCAGCATACAAAGCGCTTTATAGTAAATATACGAGTATAAAGGACTTTGCACTACTGGCTTGGAATGCCCCCTGTGGTTGCAAACTATGGCAAAACTGCAGGGGCTGATGGAGCATAAAGCATAGCCTCTCGCTTGCATATTTAAAAAGTAGGCAGCCTGAATTCCTTGGCTTTTAGTGGTAACTTGCATTGCCAAAGCAAAAGATAAAGTTCATGAATGTCTCATTTTTGTGGGGGGAAATACATATATTTAATATAATCTTAAACATCTTCAATAAATTTTCAAGTATTAAATTTCCTTATAAAAAGATGTATATTTACATTTTTCAAAATCATTGTTAATTATGTGATACCAATCTTACAATAGAAGAAAAAACGATCTAAAAAAATCCATTACAACTAAATTTTTGAAAGTTGTGTCTGATTGCATATATTATTATGACTTTGAGTTGTAGAAAGATTTGTTACAAAATAATTTATGGCAGTTTGAAACGATATTTTTGGAAAGCACCCCAGTTTGAAATAAAAGAATCAAATTTTCAAAAGTTGCGAGGTGATCGGGGCCGGAAATGCTTCTCGTTGCAGCTGGGAACCACCTTTTCATTATTTATGAATGGGCCGCGGGAATTTTTCAATTTATTGCTGGTGTTTCGGTGGCGCTTAGCATTCCGGCCGAGTTTGGGGCATAAAGTGCGAGAGAGCAATTCAGGAGATTTATTTATGCTGCAGATAAAAGATTATTTCGCGGGGCTGCTGCATCTTTTAGCAGGCGGAGGGACTTTCTTCGTTTATCTCCCCTTCCGAAACAAAATTTCAGCTCCAGCGGCGGGCAGGTGAAAAGAAAAGGGTTGCGAGTATTATGCGGATTGAAATTGCCTGGCTGTCGGTTTTATTCCATTTGCGTTTGAGAGTGCGTTGGAAGTTTCTGTTTATCGATCTTGCTTTGTTTCCGCCCGCCGCGAGTCGTGTGTGTTTATCCAGTGAAGGCAGCTCGTTCCCGCAGCGTTAAAGTATAATTTGCTTTTCCATCCGTCTGCCAAAAATAAACTCGCAGCTCCTTGCGAGACAGAAATTAATTAAGCGCCTCTTTGTGTACGGCTTAACGGAGAGTCAATATTAGGAAATGGAGACGCTAAAAATCTGAGGCACCAGTGTTACAAGATTTATAATATTATTTTGATTAACATTAAAATTAATAATTTTTTAAATGTTAATAATATATTAATGTCTTTCACCTTTCCTCATTGAAATCGTTGAGCATAAAGAAAACGTTAATCTTTAGTTTAATGCATGCAATTTTTTTTATCATTTTAATAATAATTCCGTTTTGCACATACCATAATAAGTAGATAATAGATTTGATTCTGCAAAAATATGCAATATTAATGACTTAATTACCGAGTTAATAAATTGATTTTTTATCAATATACCAATGAATTTAATAGAGCCAAAACGATTGTGAAAGCAAATCATTCAACTTTTGATTTGAAATTATTCTTTACATTATAGCCTTGATGATAAAATAAATATAATATATTAATTATTGATAATTTTTACGAAAAATACAATAATTGTTATTTTTAAAATTAATCACTATTTTTATAAAAATAATAAATAAATCGGAGCAAAAAAATACGTTTAATTCAATTTAGAACTGTAAATATTAATTTGATTTTTTTTATGTTTAAAGTTATTGTTGCATTTGAAAAGAGTTTGAAATATAAATTTTGTACGCCATAACTTCTTGGAATTTAGGACAAAGTTTATTAAACCCTCTTTAAATAGTATAAATAGAAAATAACTTATGAAAATTTTTAATGATGAAAGATTTATTTGAGAAAATATGCCAAAATGTTCTGGATTTTACCCTCATCTTTTAAACTGCTCAAAATAGATTTGAGGAATGGGAAAAATTTTGACGCTGCCTGTATTGTTTAGTAGCTTTTTAGTTTCATCTCGCATGTATTAGATATCGGGAGTGGCGAAAGCCAGCTGTCCATTCGATGCAGTAACAATAAAGACCAAACAACATCCCTTCCTGTCGTCGTTGACAAGAAGAGAAATCGCTCGGACACGGTTTGAAAAGCAATGGACGGTGGCGATTATTTGATATGGCGTCGTCGTCACGGAATGCAAGCTATTTCTGTCGGCGCCACCACATTATTCCGTGACCAGCAAAGCCAGACGAGTTTTGCTGGTCGTGAATTATTATGTCCGTAAGGGCCGCTCGAAAGCTAGGCTCTCGCGTGACACGGGAAACCAAATTACAGCGGCCCGTGTTAGCCGATAGCTCTCCAGAGTGGTGGCGCCCGCCAGGGGCAGATCAAATTTTGGCGGCGAGGGAGACCGTCTGAATAAGTGGATCACGCCGGCTTAGCGCGTTGCGAAATCTCAAACTTGCGTATCAAAGGGTGGATGAGAGGTCTGGGCGCGTCTGATAGATTAGAAAAGGCGATCGCGATTTTCCGAGTATTTGGACAGGCTGATCTCGAGTTTCGTGGTGATTGAAGATTGATTAGCTCTGTACAGACAGAGAAGCACCACTCGAATTTATAACTCTAATTGCCTTCAAACTTCAAACATGAAACTATCTTGCCAGCAAAAATTCAATAGTTATGTTTCAAACTTAAAAATTTAAAAAAATCATAAAATAATGAATTGCTTGTAACTTTAAAATAATATAGCTCTTTTCATTGTGAAATTTCTCTTTAAAATAAATATCTTAGATCTGCAAATAGTTTTTCTAAATTTTAACTAAAAATAGTCAATTTTTTCTGGGAAAAACTGACAATAAAATATATCAAATTCACTTTGGGCGCATAATAAATTGCTAATATTTGAATTTTTTTTAACCAACGCATTTAAAATTGATTAAATCATATTTTATGTGCCTCTTGCAGTTCCGAGTTCAAATTGTGACCGACGATATTTGCACTTCACTCATGCAGTGTGTAACAACCCAGCGAGTTATTAGCCATCTCGCTGTACTAGCAGCTGTAGTGCTCTCTGCTCCGACTCACGGGGCTTTTACGGCTGGCGAACGGCGAAACTTCTCGAGCTGCTAACGAGAGGCACGGACAGCAGTGCATTTGAGCCGCCTTCAGTTAGCACTGCATGTACGTGGTTGCTGCTGATAAGAAGCAAGAGGGATGTGTGTGTGGGGGGCTTTAATGAGCTCGCTAACCACCTTGGCGTTTAATTTGGTTGAGGAAGCGGCGCACTTTATTTGATTCGCGTTATTTCGCAGCACCGCAGCAACGGTCGATGACTTCCTCCCTTGCCACATTAATTTCGTCTTCGTGCCATAACTTGCTTGCGTTCAAAACTCGACAAGAGAGTCGATCTTGACTCTTGATTATGAAACGCACTCATAAAAATTATAAATTTTTGGTCTTTTATCTGATTAATCAATTTTTCCAATTTATTTTGCCTCAATAATATGCTCTCCTTCTAGGTTCGAGTAAAGAAATTTAAATTTTAATAAATTCTAAGTAAGAATATAATTTATTTATAATTACAATTTGAGATACCTATATAATTTTTTTGCTTACCAATAATCTGTAAGAAATGAAATATCAGTTGAGTGGTTAAAAACATTAGTTAGTAAAATTTTGAACTGATGAGTTTTTAAAATTATTTTACTTTTTTATAAATGTCTTTATTTAATTTAAATTAAAATTATCAAAAGCACAGGTAAAATTTTCCGGCCTAGCCCAGAGAGAAATATGATAAATAAGAAAAAAATCGCTAGAAATGATTGTCCATGAAGTCAACGGCTGTTGCATAAATCTGCATAAAGTATTTTACATTACGCAATCCTCTCTCATTTCCCGCTCACGTCAGGCTTATCCTTGGAGGCAGAGGTGGAAAAGGCCTGTTGACAAGCAGGCAGTGTTGGCGTCACACCCGACACATTTAATAAAAAAGCGCATAATTACCTCCGGCCGCCCAAAGTTCTATTTAATTGCTCGTTTCATTAGGGGCAGGTGTTTTGTGCAGCGCGTCTCAGGAGAGAGGGTGTGTAATTTTTTCCCGGTTTTTAATTACATTCCTCGCGCATAAAATTAGTTCACAGACCGCCCCTAACGAGGGGTGCCGGAAGGTTGTAAAAAAATACTTTCACTACACCAATAAGCAGGGGAAACCGCGCTTTTAATCGGCGAATTAAACTGACGAAGTCATCGGTGTGTAATTGAATAAAAATATAATGACTGGCGGAAAAGGCAATTTGTCAGAAAAGCGCTCGGGCGCCTAATGCGATTACGGACTCTCTCGAATTGCCCAGGAGATCTCCGGGATAATCCACCCATCGACAAAATTCGTGTCCTTTCGATGGGCAAAAAATTTGAGCTATCAAGAGCACGCGTTCGGTAGGTCTCCAACTCGAGGGTCGGCAATCTTGTTTTGACATTTTTCGCGCCCAGCAGATGTAAAGAAGTTGGAGTAGTTGGACGCTGCGCCCATTTTCTTGTCGTTTGCAACATTAGGCGTCGAGCGAAATGCGAAAGTAACGAGAGAGACCCGCCAACTTTTTATTCCGCCGAGACTTGCAATCAACTTTCGCAGGGTGGGAGAAGGTGCGAAAGGGAGGACGTGGTGGAAAATAAAGGACGGTCCGACGAGTCTTTGATGATGAGTTATTAAATTCTTTCTTTTTCTCTCAGCAGGGCGGAGTTCACTAGAGGCAGAGCCAGAAATAACTTTTTCGCTTGGAAATA